TAGGTTCACTGATAACCGACACTATCAATGTTAAACGCTCGCGGAGGGAGAGGGAGGGAGGGAGAGGGAGGGAGGGAGAGGGAGGGAGGGAGGGAGGGAGGGAGAAAGAGGGAGGGAGGGAGGGAAGAGGGAGAGGGAGAAGAGAGAGAGAGGAGAGAGAGAGAGAGAGAGAGAGAGAGAGAGAGAGAGAGAGAGAGAGAGAGAGAGAGAGAGAGAGAGAGAGAGAGAGAGAGAGAGAGAGAGAAAGAGAGGAGAGAGAGAAAGAGAGAGAGAGAAAAGAGAGAGAGAGAAGAGAGAGAGAGAGAGAGAGAGAGAGAGAGAGAGAGAGAGAGAGAGAGAGAGAGAGAGAGAGAGAGAGAGAGAGAGAGAGGAGAGAAGAGAGAAAGAGAGAAAGAGAGAAAGAAGAAAGAAAAGAGAAGAAAGAGAGAAAGAAAGGAAAGAAGAAATAAAGAAAACGAGAGAGGAAGAAAAAGAGACAGAGACAATATATGTCAAACAAACCTACAGACAACCAGAGAAACCGAAAGAAAAGCGATAGAGAGAAAGAGATTACACTTATCTCACCCCAGAGCACGAGACGCGCCCCATCCCCCCCCTCCCCCCACCCCCTCCGTCGGCATCTCGGATCTGAACTGGCTATCCGACTCCCGCTGTCCAGCCAGACCGACTCCTCACCAACTCACGACTTCCATTAACTTTAATATACTCCGCCAACGGTCGTGACTCGATCTGTGTGCTTGTAATCAATTTCATTCTTCTGCCAACAGCGCTCTTCTCTTTCTCGTGATTACAGTGCCAACGAATCTCGCGAAAGCATTAGTCTACATTTTTATTTATTTATTTTTATTTATTTATTTTTTTTTTTGGCGTAGACCGGGAGCCATTTTAAATATTTTTCCCGAAGTCGTTTAAGTAAACAAGTAATTTAGCTCTGACTGTCAGAGTGAGTTAATTATGTCCATCGTTATCCAATGCAGTATTATTTATATAAGATTCTAGTGCTGGACCTCGAAGGAAAAAAGCTCACCCTCGACCAACACTTCACTGAGGAAGTTCCTGACGAAGTGGGTCGGGAGTCTCCGTTTTCTGTTTTTGTCTTTTTTTATTTTTTGTTTTGTTTTCTATCCTTTTTTAACCCTTTTTTTTAAGTTTTTTCATGAGGCGGGACACATGCTAAACACATGCTGGTCGCTCTTCATGGTCATTTGGCAGATGGAGGATAAACGCATGCTTCCTTATAAGAGCGAGAAGAAAATAAAATAGATACCCCTGAAAGATTAGTACTCCAGATGATATTTTTTTAGTGCAAAAAATGAAAATTAAAGATGTGGATGAAAATAAAATATTACTACTAATGAATAAAAAACAATTAAATGAAAATAATAATAATAGAAAAAAGAGAAAAAGAGGAAGAATACAGTGACAAAAAAAAAAAAAAAAAAAGAAAAATGGGGGTAGACGTACCAGAAGCAAAATATGAAACCCATGATAATATTAAGGATTACGCGGCCAAGCAAATATTTACACAAAGGGAGGAGATTAAGGTCGAGATGAGGGATCATGGGGAGTTAAGGGGTAGGGGGGGGGGGCATATGCCAGTTCATAACCATGAGTTAATGGTCACCGAGCTGGCATTGCTCGGGGCACGTGGCACGCGCATGTGGGAGCGGAGCCATATGTGCCTATACAGTTCGTATATACAGTATATTGTATATATATATATAGTATATATATATACATATATTTAAATGATATATATACAACACACACATACATGTAAGCATATTGATGCGTATACATACACGTGCATCACCTATTCACTCTCTTTCTCTCACTCTCTCTCTCTCTCTCTCTCTCTCTCTCTCTCTCTCTCTCTCACACTCTCTCTCTCTCTCTCACACACACACACACACACACACACACACACACACACACACACACACACACACACACACACACACACACACACACATAGCATATACATTATATACACACACACACATATAGATAGATAGGTAGATAGCGAGAGAGAGCGAGAGAGATGTAGCAAGAGCTAAGGAGATGCAGGTGGAGGTGCAGGAGGGCGAGACAAGTGCTGATGCTTGAGTGGCTCGAAGGCGAGGAAGGTGAGAGAGATAGAGAGAAAGAAGGGAGGGAGGGAGGGAGGGAGGGAGGGAGGAGGGAGGGAGGAGAGGGAGGGAGGGAAGAGGGAGGGAGGAGAGAGAGAGGAGAGAGAAGAGAGAGAGAGAGAGAGAGAGAGAGAGAGAGAGAGAGAGAGAGAGAGAGAGAGAGAGAGAGAGAGAGAGAGAGAGAGAGAGAGAGAGAGAGAGAGAGAGAGAGAGAGAGAGAAGAGCGAAAAATAACGAAGAAAGAATCAGAATAAAGAGGCCAGAGAAGAAAATTCCTTATTATAGAGGATAGAAACACAGACCCAAATTCCCTACATCGTTCTAGATCCTCTATAACACCGAATCAGTTTCTCTCTCTCTTCCTCTCCTCTCCCTCATCCCTCTCTCTTCCCCCTCTCTCTCTCTCCCCCTCTTCCCTCTCTCCTCTCTCTCTCTCCCTCTCCTCCTTCTCTTCTCCCTATCCTCTCTTCCCTCCTCTCCCTCTCTCTCTTTTTCTCTCTTCCCTCCCCTCTCTCTTCCCCTCCTCTCTCCCTCTCTCTCTTTTCTCTCTCCCCTCCCTCCCTCTCTTATCGACCCCATTAACTCCCACTGCACAACCATCAAGAACTCGCGTGACCTTCAGCGCCGGCAGAGAGTTCTTAAAGCGCCCATAGAAACCTCCTTAGGGGCGCTGGGAGCCTGACGTGGACACCTTGTAGCCCTAAAGCCTCCGTCGGTACTTTTGAGGGCCCCCTTTTAAGCGTTTATTGGGGGTCTGTGTCGATAGAACTTGTTTATAATCAACCTCGCTGGTGAGTTTGCCGTTTCGAAGGTTTATTGTGACTGTCATAGAGTTTATTGATTGATGGTGATGTTATCTGTATATCTTTTGTATCATCATCATCGTATCTATCTATTAATCCCTATCTATCGACCAATCTATATATTTATCTATTTTACTACACACACCATTATTTTCCCAAACCGAGAAACAAATCCACATATACCTTTTTTATATGAGTCTTTATCCCAAACATAAATAAACCTTTACCGCAAAAATCCCTTCAGTTCCATCCTAAGACGAGCATGAGCATCAGAGCCATCTAGCGAACGGAAATCGAAGGCGATCATGAGCATCAGAGCCATCTAGCGAACGGAAATCGAGGTGCCAAAGGAGAGAACACTCCACGTCGACCAGAGGCTTCGATGGAGACAAAACAACCCCTTCAGTCCGCATCCACCTTCGTCGGGGGGGTATCTGCTGGGTCTGTTCCTGCGGTGCCAGATACCAAACCAGACCTTTCTGTCTCTCTTCTCTCTACTCTTTCTCGTTTTTCTCTTCTATTTTCTTTCTTTCTCTCTCTCTTTCTCTTCTCTCTTCTTCTCTCTCTCTCTCTCTCTCTCTCTCTCTCTCTCTCTCTCTTCTCTCTCTCTCTCTCTCTCTTCTCTCTCTCCTCCTTCCTCTCCCTCTCATCCCTCTCCCCTCCCTTCCCCCCCCCCAACTGCCGAACGAATACGACGTGATAGCTACACCCGCCGACTTCCCCCCCGAGCTCCTCCGACGCGGGGCATAATACCGCACACACCCCGCGCGCCTCCTCCAATTATGCTCGCGTCCAAGTACTCGACTTATTCCTCCGTAAAAGGGGCGGGGCTTGTAACGCGCGGTTCTGCTGCAGGGCGTCGGGGGAACACTGGCCTGGCGGGGGGGGTGGGGTGGGGTGGGTGGGGTGGGGTGGGGTGGGGTGGGGTGGGGTGGGGTGGGTGGGTGGGTGGGGTGGGGTGGGCATGCGAGCGGACGAGGCTTCTTTTTTTTTTGCGAAATTAATCAACTGCTTTTCCTCTATTTTTTTTTTTTTTTTTTTATCTAAAGATGCTATTCTTTTCTTTTTTTTTTTTTTTTTTTTTTTAATCTAAAGATGATGCTATTCCTTTCTCGAGCTTTTTTTTTCTAAACCCGATGATGCTATTCTTCCCCTAACCCTTCTTTTTTCCTCGAGTTTTTATCTCAATCCTTCCTCGAATCTCTTCCTTGAGTTTTTTATCTAAACCAGATGACGATATTGCTTCCCTTTTTAACACCCTATCTATTTTTTTTATATATTATACTATTATATTATATTAACACCCTATTATTTTAACACCCTATCTATTTTTTTTTTATTATACTATTATATTATATTATATATACTCTTATATTATATTAACACCCTATTATTTTAACACCCTATCTATTTTTAACAATCTATCTTAAGGAAACACAATTAGCCTTTTACAATCCAAACCCAAGTCCCTATCCGACTTCCAACCCTTTTCGAATCTCAGAGAAACACAAAACAATCGATTAAGTAACAAATCTCAAACCAAAGTCTCCACGTGGCTATAAAGGCGACGACGCGAAGACAAGTTACGTAAATGTAACCTTAGAGCACTTCTTTCCCGACAGCGAGACGCGCCCGCACCAGCCAGCGCTCGCACCCGACAACCACAACGCCCCCCCCCCCGACTCCAAATTTATAAATCACAACAGCTGTTTATTTGTCTACGAAGTTGGTGCTAAATCATCTCTAAACATTACCTTAATACACCTTAATATAAAGACGTCACATGACTTAAAATCAATGTCTAAGAAGCTGGTGCTAAACCATCCCTAAAATGACCTTAAAACACCTTAATATAAAGACGTCACATTACTTAAAATCAACGATCCTTCCCTTCCATTTATGTCCGAAGCTGGCACTAAATCCCTAAAATTACCTTAAAACACCTTAATATAAAGACGTCACACGACTTTAAAAGCACCCGTCGACAACCCCTTCCCCCTAAAAAAAAAAAAAAAAAAAAACGACACGAGTGAAACTTCTCAGGACGAAAAAAAAAGGGAACACTCACCACAATGACTCCGCTGCGACTTGTCACCGACGCTCCAAACCACTGCATGCTCTTGTTGTCCACTTGTCTCCCAGATTCCCAGTGGTTGCCTGTGGTAGGGGAGAGGAGGTGATGTGATAATCCCTCAGCAATGAAGAGGTTGGTGTTGTATATTCATTTATATATGATGTGACGTTTTTCTCTCTCTACTATCTCGTCTAATCCTCTTTCTCTTGCTCTACCTCTCTTTCTCTTGTTCGCTCGCTCGCTCTTCTACCCTCTCTTCCCTCTCTCTCTCTTCTCTCTCTCTCTCTCACTCTCTCTACTCTCCATCTCTCTCTCTCTCTCCCTACTTCCTCCCTCTTTCCCTTCCCCATCCCATCTTTATATCTATCTATCTATCTATCTACCTACCCTACCTATTTATCTAAACTATCTTTCTATCTACCTATGCTATCTTCCAATCTATTTCTAAAAAAGAAAAACCCGACCTCCCTCCTCACAACACACTCCGGCAGAGACTCACCGGTCGTGTCGAAGGGAATCGTTCGCAGTCGTCGTGGTATGTCGGGTCGGCACTTGTAGACGGCGCCCCTCGCTCGACGTCGGGCTGGAAGGTGCTGGCCTCGGGGCGCCGACCAGCACCCCTGGAATGGGACAGGTGTTGAGGGTTAATTAGGGTTCTGGTGTTGAGGATTAATTCGGGGCTGTCTGGTGTTTTGTTGAAGCGGGGCTGGTGTTGAGGTTAAATTCGGGGGCTGGTGTTTTGAGGGTTTAATTCGGGCTGGTGTTGAGGATTAATTCGGGGCTGGTGTTGAGGGTTAATTCGGCGGCGGGGCTTGGTGTTGAGGTTGATGGGTTAATTCGGGGCTGGTGTTGAGGGTTAATTCGGGGCTGGTGTTGAGGTTAATTCGGGGCTGGTGTTGAGGATTAATTCGGGGCTGGTGTTGAGGGTTAATTCGGCGGCTTGGTGTTGAGGGTTAATTCGGGCTGGTGTTGAGGGTTAATTCGGGGCTGGTGTTGAGGGTTAATTCGGCTGGTGTGAGGGTTAATTCGGGGCTGGTGTTGAGGATTAATTCGGGCTGGTGTTGAGGGTTAATTCGGGCTGGTGTTGAGGGTTAAATTCGGGGCTGGTGTTGAGGGTTAATTCGGGCTGGTGGTTGAGGATAAATTCGGGGCTGGTGTTGAGGGTTAATTCGGGGCTGGTGTTGAGGTTAATTCGGGCTGGTGTTGAGGGTTAATTCGGGCTGGTGTTGAGGGTTAAATTCGGGGCTTGGTGTTGAAGGGTTAATTTAATTCGGGGCTGGTGTTGAGGGTTAATTCGGGCTGGTGTTGAGGTTAATTCGGGCTGGTAATTTGAGGGTTAATTCGGGGCTGGTGTTGAGGGTTAATTCGGGGCTGGTGTTGAGGGTTAATTCGGGGCTGGTGTTGAGGGTTTAATTCGGGGCTGGTTTGAGGGTTTAATTAGGCTGGTGTTGAGCCTTAAGGAAGGGAGAATTGCATTTTAAGAATAAAATGTGTGGATAAAAAGTTATTTATAATGGTTATTTTTCCCTAAACATTTACCTTTTACAGTGTTAAAAAAAAACAGATATAAATATAAACAAACAAACACACATAGAGATCGAAAAAGAAATGGAGAGCGAGAGCGAGAGCGAGAGCAAGAGAGAGAGAGAGAGAGAGAGAGAGAGAGGAGAAGAGAGAGAGAGAGAGAGAGAGAGAGAGAGAGAGAGAGAGAGAGAGAGAGAGAGAGAGAAGAGAGAGAGATAGAGAGAGAGAGAGAAATAAAAATAAAAAATAATATAAAATGAAAGAGAAAATGGAAAGAGAAAGAGAAAAAAGAAAAGAAAAAGAAAAGAAAAAAAAAAAAAGAAAAACAAAAACAAAAAAAACAGAATAGAAAGAGAAAGAGTAAAAAACGTTCACGGATTCGCCTGTTGCCGTATGGAACCGAAAGAAACGGCCGCGGGTACAAAGGTCAGGAGTCACGTGGCCACTTGGACTTTGTTTACATTGTGGGCCCAACGTATCAAGCACCCCCACCCGCCCTCCTCCCTCCTCCCCCATCCACTCATACTCCTCCCCCCTCCCCCCTCAGTACTTCAAGCTGAAAAAATATGAGAGAGGCTTCACGTCTACAGGTAAGGAGGGTATATTTGAAAAATGGAAGATAGATATTTGAAGATGGAATAAAAAAAAAAAAAAAAAAAAAAAAAAAATGTATATATATATATATATATATATATATATATATATATATATATAGAGAGAGAGAAGAGAGAGAGAGAGAGAGAGAGAGGAGAGAGAGAGAGAGAGAGAGAGAGCTAACAGATATAAAAAAAGGAATGTAAAGGGCTAATACATATGAAAATATAATAGATCTTATATGGGCTAGTATATATAAAAAAAAACTATAAAAGTAAAAACCACATGTAAGTTAAAATGTAAATTCTCATCCCACACATGAAAATAGAATAACACGATTGTACTTAAACATCATTTAGCATCTTAGATAATACATTTCTTTACTCAGAAAAAAAAATTAAACAACTTGAGGTATGGAGTTCTGGCCAACACAAGCACCACCTCATCCTCGGCTGCTCTCCCTCGAGCCCCGTGAAGTAGCGGCTATGAGGACAGTCGCCAACATAACTCAGATAAGCGACCAACAGAAATACCCCTTGATGCGCCGTGTTGCACCGTGCAATGAGACCACGTGCAACACCTAATATGCAACATTCAGGGAGAGGCTGCTCCGTATTCAGCCTATGTTTTCGGGATCTCACACGTGCAACATTCAGGGCATAGCAGACAGAGCTGCTCTATGTCTCACACGTCGGGAACTCAACATTCCTTCGTACAAGTAATCTCACACGTGCAACATCCAACGTGCAACATTCACGAAGAGGCTGCTTCGTACAAGAGAGGAGCCCTATTTTTTCGGGATCTCACACGTTCAACATCCAACGTGCAACATTCAGGGAGAGGCTGCTTCGTACAAGAGAGAGGCTCTATGTCTTCGGGATCTCAGCCAATGATCCAAGTATGCAGACTCGACAAGCTGCTCTAAGACGTTTAATTAGCTCCTGAAGGGCGGCTGCTTGATGAAGGTGTGCGGACGAGGGTCATGTGTCTGTCTGTTTGTTTCTTGCTTTTTCTCTCCTCTCTATTTCTCTTTCTATTTCTCTATGTCTACGTACATGTCTATATTTCTCTTTCTTTATATCTAGATAAGCACGCACACGCACGCGCACACACACACACACACACATATATAGATATAAACATATGAGAAAGAGAGAGAGAGAGAGAAAGAGAGAGAGATGGAGACAGACAGAGAAAAGAGAGAAGAGAAAGCAGAGAGAAAAAAAAAAAGATAAAACAATAAAAACGAAGAAAAAAACACCGAAGCACACCAGGCACGCCACATCACATCCTGGAATAAAAGCCACAGACCCCGACGAATGACCTACCGCCCCCACCCTCCCTTCCCTACCCCCCCCCACTCCACCACCCCCACTTCGCCCCTAGTCCCCGCCCGCCCCTCCCGCCGCCCACGAGAGCCAGGCGTCACCAGCGGGCACTCCCACGGGCGCTGTGTGGTCACTGCTCAACTTCTGCATGTCACTGTCGGGGTGAGAAGGTCGCCTCCACCCCCCCCCCCCCCCCCTTTTCTTTACATAGCCGAGATGCTTTCTAATTTACGACACGTGATTAATTGGTGGAGGGGTGGCGGTGGGGGGGGGGATTGTGATCTTCATTTGCGGAGACAATGGGTGGGGGGGGGTGAGGATGGGGGCGTGGTTGTGAATATTAAGAAGTTTTAAATCCGTTATTAGAGGGTTTCTTCTTTTTCTTCTCTGTTTATTTGTTTGTGTTGTGTGTGTGTGTGTGTTGTGTGTGTGTGTGTGTGTGTGTGTGTGTGTGTGTGTGTGTGCTGTGTGTGGTGTGTGGTGTGTGCGTGTGTGTGCGTGTGTGTGTGGTGTTAAGAGTGTGTACATACATACGTGTGTATACAAGCGTCGTTGCCTAAACATCCATAGCTCAGAAATGAAAATCCACAGAAGGAAGTCCCAAAAAACATCTTTTCCTCAGCACGGAGCAGACAGAGCAGCACCTCCTCCCCAAATAAGCCCCGACCCCGTACGAGTTAAAGCCATTTCCAAGCAAATCACAAGCACGGGCAACACTGCAGCACCCAACGCACGCATCTCCCGAGCAGTTTAGTCAGTCGGCGAGCAACATACGTAGTTTTTATTAAGCCTCATAAACATGTTGGCATCCGTGGGGGTTAAGGGGATGCGGGCCCTGTTCGCGCTGCTTAAATTACTCGCCAACAGAGACGTAAAATCAGTATGACTCTATCTGCCCCCGAAGTGCTAATTCCAATTAAAATCTTAGTTTCTTTAGTTTTCTATCGAGGCTGAAGAATCACTTGTATAAAAAAAAAATTATATATATATATATATATATATATATATATATATATATATAATATATATATATATATATATATATGTAATATATTGTATTCTATCGAGACTGTATAATCACTTATATAAAAAAGAAAATATACCTATAATGGTATTGTATATGATATATTGTATTATATCGAGACTGTAGAATCATGTAAAAAAAAGAAAGATATAAGTAATAATATTGTATAGAATCACTCATATAAAAAAGAAAAATATATCTGTAATGATATTGTATATATATATTGTATTCTATCGAGAATCACTTATGTAAAACAAGGAAAAAAGACATAATAATAGTGTATATCATATATGCACGCACACAAAAAGAACTTTAATTTATAATGATCTAATATCACTTTGCCTTCCAGGAATAACCTCGCTTTATCAAAATAATAATTTTCTAGTCAACCCTGACGTATATAAAGCTATATTACGACCTATATTCGACCTGCCGCCCAACAGCCCACCAATCACTAGGTCCAAAAATTCCAAAATGAAATGACGGAGAAGTCACCCCCCCCCCCACCCGGACCAACCACCCCTCCCTCTTTTCCCCCCTCCTCCTCTATCTCCTCTCTCCCCTCCCCTCTTCTCACCCCTCTCCCCACCCCCTTCCTCTCCTTTCCCCATCCCCTCTCCCGGCCCCTCCTCCCTCTCTTTCTTCTCATCCCCTCCCTCTCTCTTATCTCCCGTCTCGCCCCTACCCTCTCTCCCTCTCCCCTCCTACTCTCCTCTCCCTCTCGCCCCTCTCCCCGCCCTCGTCCCTCCCCACCCTCCTCCACCTCTCCCCCGCCCTTCCCCCCTCCCCCCACTCTTCTACCTCCCTCTCACCCCTCCCCTCCCCTCCCTCCTATCTCTCCCCCCGCCTCGCCCCTCCGCTCTCCCCTCCCATCTCTCCTATCTCCCCGTCTCCCCGCTCCCCCTCCCTCCACCCTCCTCCTCTCCCCTCATCTCCCGCTCCCTCTCCTCCCCTCCCCCGCCTCCCCCTCTCACCCTCCTCCTCCTCCCCCAGCCGCCCCGCTCTATCATTATATAACGCAGCTATAAATTCAAATTCACGCCAGGATAATAACGACGGCCACCGAGGCAGACCCGAGGCTCCGTGGCGGCAGCGGGTTTCCTCCGGCTTGGATTAGAAAGCTGGGTTCCCGGATGAGCTGGAGACGTCAAAGCGCTCGCCATAATTCAGGGAGAGGAACCACGATGGATATTTATATGTGTAAAAAAAAAATTCCGATTGAGGAAAAGATGAGCGATATTCGAAGGGTAAACTTCGGCGAACCGTGATCAAACACACGCATACGACACACACACACACACACACACACACACAACACACACACACACCACCACACACACACACACACACACACGCACGCACGCACACACACACACGAATCCACAACCAACCCCAAGAGACAAGTAAACAAAGCGGAAGCGTTCGGGAAAAGCGACAACAGTTACGCGAACGAGGGACTCCCATTACCTATGCGAACGCGCCCAGACCTAACAACCATTTACAAGGAGATCACGAGCAGTTACACACCACCGATTAGTCATTTAGGGAAAAGGCCTGGCGTTGTCATCACAGGTACGAGGGTGAAATATGGAAAATTTTAAACTAGAGGGAAAATTAAGGTACTTATGAAGGGAAAATTAAGTAATTTTGAGCGCGCCCGGAGGTAGTAGACGAGATGGAGGAGGAATGTTTGAAAAGGAATTTCCGTTAAATTAGGACTGCGTATCTTGTTTGCTCTTTAGGTCGTATATCTTATCGGAGTCTAATATTTATTGGTGTTGTAAGCATGGATTTATAAATTCTGGTTGCAAGCACATTAATGCGTACACATACACATTCTTACATACATACTCATTTCCACTCTCTCTCTCTCTCTCTCTCTCTCTCTCTCTCTCTCTCTCTCTCTCTCTCTCTCTCTCTCTCTCTCTCTCACTCATTGTAAATAGGCCTAAGAGCTCAAATTTCCTACAAAGTGGACAACAGAGAATGCGTGAATTAAGCCAATATTCGTATGCAAATTTCCCCGACCACCCGAAGGGAGAATGTCGTACTCAGGTTAGGTTCCTTCTCTTCTCTCTTCACAAACGATATTTTCTCGTTAACCTTATTTCGTTCCTTCGTTTCCTCCCCCTCTCTTCTTCTCTTGCCATTTCCACTTTATTGGAATCTTCATCTGAACCTCATTATCTAACCCTTATCCCACTGGTTATCTCTCTTGTCTATCGCGCCCGGTTCAATAGGCTTTTTCCTAACCTCCGCCCTTTCCCACTCGGGTTATAATCACAACACTTGTACGTTCTGCTTGAGAGAGGTTATATCATTAAGCTAATGAAGTCTGCTGAACGAATGGCTACGTCCGCTTGCATAATGTGGTCACGACTGCTACACACAACGCGGCTGGAACATAACTATTTCTCTTTTTCTATTATTTTTTTTTCAAACATAGGCCTATATTTAACATAGGCCTATATCTACTTGCACGAGAGATCTCATAGCGGAGAGAAGAAAGGCCGTTTTAATAAAGACCGGTCGGTGGAACGTGTAAAATCATCTCTACAGAGGAGATGCGTGGTGAGATAGTGAGTGTTATGGTGCCATTAGCATATGTAAGCCTATACAAGGTCAGGAATTCGAAAACTATAACAGTGATGTCTTAAAATGCCGACAAATAGAGATGATAATAGGTGTGATAATAGTGGTATTCCAAGAAAATGTCACAACACTATGTAAGTAATATTAAAGCGTAGACACTAAAAACAGCAAATTATAAACAGGCAAAAAAATATTTTTATGAGTTACAATTACGACGACTAAGACATACCGTGAGTTTAGATTAATAAAGCATCAACAGTGACAACAGCAATTACATCATAAGAGAAACACACCACGACATGAAACAGGTTCTTGCGCTAGAACAAGTCACAGGCGACCCCGACGAGTAAACAAACAAAGCCGTGTCCCTCCCGCCGACGCCGCTGTAATTTATCACGAAAGCGCCATCTT